TGATGCACCATGTACCAGGATAGGGAGGCCAGATGACAAGGCTATAAGACCAAACATTCCAAATCCTTGTTCACCTGAGGGCACAATGGCAAGGTCTGCTTCACAGAGCCACCTTTTCATTTCTTCTTCATCTTTTGGTGGGCTTCGAATGATCAGCTGATGTTTGGGTACACCACATTCATGAAATTTCTCAACAAATCCCCTATGTTCTCCTTTAGCAGCACCAACCAAGATAATCTCATAGGATCTGTCCTTCAACCCAGCAACTGCTTTAGCAACAGTGTCAAGTCCTTCTTTGTGAAAATACCTGGAGTGGCCATGACCTGCCACCAGGATACGAAACTTTTTCCTATCACAAAGGGTATGTGTGACATCAGCAAATTCACTGAGTATACCTGGAGTTAAATTGAAAACTTCTTTCTTCTGACGAGAGAGGGAAACAGAAAGTGTGTCAGCTATCTTTGGTCCAACAGCAACTGGAAGATCAGCCATTTGCATCATAGGCTGAACATTGCTATTTCCTTGGTATACATCGTCCATCTCAGCCAGGGCATCTCTTAATTCTGCATCTCTAGAGAAGCTTTCTTCAAAAGAATCACAACCCACAAAAATACTTTTGCAGTGGTGAAGTTCCTTAAATATTTGCGCCATTTTGCAAAATCTCTCACCCACACCAATGACAATGTCTGTAGTGAGGCCTTTTGGTGGGAAGCGCAGCCAGTCATTAGGATTTTGGAATCCAGGTAGCTTTTTTGCTTCAACAATGGTAACATTGTGACTTTCAGCATTTCTCTTGTCAAGTTCATCACATGAACCTTCAGGGACCAAGACAGTGACTTTCACATGAGGGAATTTTGCCAGTTGTTTGGACAACTCTTTTGTGAGGATTGAGTAGAATTCCCACGAACCCCAACTCCATCTCCATCAACATTTATCTGCTAGGATGGTAACTCTGACTGGAGTGCTGGAAGAATATCCTCCATTGCATGGCAGCTGATCAATTATTTGTTCAGCATAACTCCTTCCTGAAGCTTCAGCCTGCTAAAGAGGAACAAATGACTATGTTTAAAATAAAAGTGATGATAGTTAAGGTCACTGATTGGGAGATCTCTCTGCTCTTTGTACATGTATAAGCATTGTGCCCAACTGTCATGTTTAGCACTTTACATTGTATTAATTACAGCAACAAATAATGCCATGATGTCACAGATATATTTTCATTGGTTATGATGCAACAAAATTTACACAGCTTTTACCAATATGTACTGCTTCATGCCAAATGTTTTCTTTCAGAATGTCCCAGATTAAAACACAGTTTCTGGTTTACTTGTTGGGCAAAACTCTCTACACAAACTCTGCTACTACAAAGGGGAAATATGTTTCAAAACTGATGACAAGTCAGCATAAGAGATTTCTTTCATGTTTGTATATGTAAATGCACATATGATAACAATAAGTAGTACTGATGACAATAAGTAGTACGACAGTTCATTCAAGATTCCAAGGTCTTGTCTAAGACCTTCAAGTCCATTTTTGAAAAACAGCCGAATGTCATATGGAACAGAGAGAATTATAGCTTTAATACTACCAAGATCTCACATCATTTTGGCTATGAAAATATGTCTCAAAAGAACAGTGTAACAAAACGCTGGATGAAACAGCTAATGGTACTGGTCAAGAAATATTTAAGTGATATCTCACAATTTTGTTAGCAGCTCTTTCCTTAATTTGTATATTTGATGCTCCCACCGATGTAGATTAGGAGGACTGTACTCCTACTTGCTCATATTTTCCAAACTCATTCAATTGATCTGTCTGCATGTGGCTCTCAAACACACTGTGATTAGTTGCCCTTTCTTTGTTAGTGCATTAAAAGGTACTTGGCTTTTATCAATATGTACTGCTTCATCAAAAATGTTTTCTTTCAGAATGTCCCACATAAAAACATGGTTTCTGATTTGCCACTTGTTGGACAAAACTTTCCGAGCAAACTCTGTTGCTGCAAAGAGGAAATATGTTTTAAAATTGTTGACAAGTCAGCCTGAGAGATTTCTTTCATGTTTGCATAATTATGTAAATGCACATACATTTAACAATCATGTGAGCACATTTTAAAATTAATCCACTTTAGCTTTTAACAATAAAACATAAATCTACATGTAAGTGACATATAGGGCATAAAAATCTACTTTTTTTTTCATAATCAGGTATGCCCTAAAAGAGTTATCCTTCTGCTGAGCTATGATGCAGAGGTGAAGAGTTAAGTGGACATAAAGTTGGAAAAATGCAATGAATGGTAAAATTATGTAACTACCGGCCCAAAATTTTTTTTTCACACATTGAATATCTTTGAAAAGCACATGCTGATGTGAAAGTCTTGTATGAGACCTTGGAGTCTGTTTTCAAAAAACGTTGTCTTATGGAACAGTGAGCATTTAATCTTAATATGCCAAGATCTCACATCATTTTGGCCATGAAAATAAATCTCAAAAGAATACAGTATCATCATGCTGGATGAAACACCTAGTGGTGCAGGTTGAAAAAACTAAACTAAGTGATCTCCCAAAATTTTGTTAGCAGCTCATTCCTTAACCCATTGACACCTACGTGTAACACGTGCCTACCCAAAAGTTAAAATTTTGGAGAAACCGGAAAAGTAAACACAATGCGCAGTAAAGTTTAACAAATCTTTTTTTCCCAAAAACAAGCTCATGTGAAAGAAGACCATTTAAATAACTTACTATTAACGAGGAAAGCAATAGATGCATATTAAGTTTTTACTCTAAAATCAAGATAAAAGATAAAAATCAGTAAATTTTTGCGCACGTGTGCAAAAAAAGTATGCGGATCGGATTTCAAAGTGAATATGCAAATTCATCAGTGTGTGGAGAGATCTCATGTTACATGGAAATTATGAATGAGGAGAAAGACAAAACTGATCAAGGAACGTTTCGGGAAGAAAGCTTTATTCAAAACAGTTCTTTATTTTCTGTTAGAACCGAAAAACGTACGAATTTCTTACGTGTGCGAAACCCACGAAGTAGAATTCATCATGCTTAGATCGATGTTTACTTGACTTCACGGCTAGAATATTGCGCAGCGTTGTGTTGAAAATACTGAAAGTTCTACGTTTTAACACAAAATCTTCTATTAAACAATACTTTATGGAAATCTCATTACTCAAACGTGATATTTACCGTGCCTTTGAATTTTCATAATGTCTCTAGGCCTCGCTTGAAGTCCGATAGTTTGGTTTTCGCTTTACGGCCCTAATTCGCATCGCTTTAGAGAATTGTAGCGTTGTCGACTCGAAAGCTTATTTTGTCGCCTTTAAGACCGTGATGTCCATTATTTTTCGGGCAGATTATTCTATAGCATTTTTCCTTTTCATTTTGTGTTCCAGAAGGTCTTAAATGGTGGGAAAGGAACAGAAAATCCGACTTGAAAATATTGAAAGTCGGCCGCGCGTACGCCATTTCTTTGTAGTTGATCATTTCTTGTGAACGCATAAAATGACGCCTCTGTACTACCCCCTAAAGTTATCAAAATAACTGCGCAAAAAACGGATTCTGATTGGTTTATAGATCCTCTAACAACAGAGGAAGTTTGGAGACAAAATTCTGCTTAGTAGGGGAGATAGGGGGGAAAGCGTCTCTCGCGCAAGTCCCCCACGCGGCACGGGCGGTTACGGGCGGTTCAGGTGTCAATGGGTTATAATTTGTAAATTTAATGCTCCTGCCAATGTAGATTAGGAGGACTGCACTCCTCTTTGCTTATATTTTCCAAACTTATTTGATTGATCTGTCTTTTCATGTGGCTCTCAAACACACTGACTGTGATTAGTTGCCCTTTCTTTGAAAGTGCATTAAAAGGTACTTGGCTTTTATCAATATGTACTGCTTCATCAAAAATGCTTTTTTTCTGAGACCTTCAAGTACATTTTTGAAAAACAGTGTCTTATGGAACAGTGCATAAGAATTTAATCTTTTATACTGCCAAGAACTCACATCATTTTGGTCATGTAAATAAATCTCAAAAGAATACAATATCACCATGCTGGATGAAACTGCTAGTGGTGCAGAGGTTGTAAAAACTAAACTAAGTGATCTCCCAAAATTTTGTTAGCAACTCTTCCCTTAATTTGTATATTTGATGCTCCTGCCAAGTTAGATTAGGAGGACTGCACTCCTCCTTGCTCACATTTTCCAAACTTATTTGATTGACCCGTCTTTACATGTGGCTCTCAAACACACTGTGATTATTTGCCTTTTTTTTGTTAGTGCATTAAAAGGTTCTTGGCTTTTATCAATATGTACTGCTTCATCAAAACCGTTTTCTTTCAGAATGTCCCACATAAAAACATGCTTTCTGATTTGCTACTTGTTGGGCAAAACTTTCTGAGCAAACTCTGTTGCTGCAAAGAGGAAATATGTTTCAAAATTGATGACAAGTCAGCCTGAGAGATTTCTTTCATGTTTGCCTAATTATGTAAATGGACATAATTATATTTAACAATCTAATCAGCATGTGTGAAAAGCACTCAGTCTACTTTTTTGATGTGTAGTAAATTAAACACTGTACCCTTAAACTCTTACTATACTTGAAGAAAATATGAGATGCAGCTTCTCTTTTACAGCCCGAAATATTTTGCACACATTATTGAATATCTTTCAAGAATTCTCTAAATGATAAGTCGCTGATGACAATATGTAGTATGACATTTTGCCCAAGATTCCAAGGTCTTGTCTGGGACCTTTGAGTCTGTATTTGAAAAATGGTGTCTTACGGAACAGTGAGAATTTAAGCTTTAATACTGTCAAGATCTCACATCATTTTAGCCATGAAAATAAATTCTCACCAAGGTCTCTCGTAAATGTGTCAATGGTCTGGCTCCAGATTATTTAATTAAATATTTTGTTAAACGTTCAGCAATCCACGACAGGAATACAAGGGGATGTAATAGTTTTGTGGTTCCCCGATGTAGACTGTCAACAGGGGTCTTGGAGTCTTGTTTTCAAAAAACGGTGTCTTGTGGAACAGTGAGAATTTAAGCTTTAATACTTTCAAGATCTCTCATCATTTTCGCTACAAACTTCAAAAGAATACAGTGAGGCAACGCCTAATGAAACATCTGGTGGTGCTGGTCGAGAAATATAAACTAGGTGATATCCCAAAATTTCACAATTTTCTTACCTCCTTTTCGGATAATGAATCATCCTGTCGAGGACATTTAGGAGGACTGCACTCCTCTTCGCTCATATTTTCCGAACTCATCCGATTGATCTATCGTTTTACGTGGCTCTCAAACACATTTATTAGATGCCTTTTCTCGATTCTGCGGTTCAGCCGTCGGTTCACCCGAAGTTTGCAAATCTCTCTCACACTACAATTCCAGCCGCCGTCAAATCTGGTTTGCTTCGGCAAGCACTTCCATGAAGATGAACAGCCTTCTCCAGCCTCGATCCCAGGCAAGTTAGGCTCCAAGCTTCCAAAAGTTTCACTGGGCCAAAGACCTTGTAAAAACCAGAACACAATAGACTGGACTGGACTACATCACTGATCTCAAAAGCGGCGGTAAAAAAAGAAGAAACGTGAAGCCATTGACAAAATGAATGAGATTAATTTGATCTCATTTTAATGAAATTTAATGTGCTAAGACAAGCAAAAAACCATATAAATACACAAACAGAGACAAAAATCCCAGGGAAACGAAACGTAAAAAAATACAATATGCTTTGACAGTTGAGTCTTTGCTGTAACCCAGTCCTACAGTGGACTGTACTAAGAACGTTTCCCCGCAAGGGATGCATGTAAGTAGCTCGCCTTCGAAACAAGAAACATAAAATCAGAAGTATGTTACCTAAAATATGTTATAAGCTTCTTGTCAAATTAATGGTTTCTAGTAAAACACC